TACTCTCACATACACATACTCTCACACATACACATACGCTCACGCATATACTCACATACACCTACACTCACACACACATTCACATACACATACACTCACACATACACATACACATACATTCACACTCACACATACACATACACTTACACATTCACATTCACATACACATACACTCACACATGCACATGCACATACACTCACACTCACACATACACATACACTCACCCAGACCATAAGCCACGAGTCTGCCTGGTTAGAGAGGAAGTCAATATGAAGTCATGTTTTCGGACATTTGATCTTCCTTCTGACTGTTCGTTTCCGAGGGCTGCCCTAGCCCATGACCACAGTCTGCGTGGTGTCAAACAGCAGGCGTGTCCTGGCTCGTAGTTATGGACGCTGCAAGTCCAAAATCAACTTCGTCTTGGACCAGGACCCACCCTGCTCCAGTATAACTTAAATCATAGCACCTTCAAAGCTCTCCCATCCAAACCAGGTCACATGCAAAAGTGCGGGCCAGTTAGGACTATATGTATATTTTTAGAAGAGACGATTCAACCCATCCTAGAAACACAACTTTTCAACTTGTCTCCAGCCACACGTGCATCCATCTACAGGCAGGAGACAGGAAAAGAGGCTGACTCACCCGAGTGCACTCAGTGGCTACACAGCCAGAAACTACTTAGGGCGCAGGTCCTCTTCCAGAACCAGAACATACAAAGGGTCTGGGGCTGAGGGACCGACTGGGGCAGCCGTCAACCCGCCAGAATCCTTCTCCTGGTTCAAGATTCCCTGGTCCACAGATGCTGGGAAGTTCCTCTTGGAGCTTTGTAAAATGGAAACGTGATCAGGTCTACAAGTCAAGAAATTGCAACGGGTCTCCTTTGCACCTCAATGAAGAGGTCTCCTCCACCCTCCCAGGGCCAAAGGCATCCAGAGACTGGGGGGACAGGGGATGCTCCCTGGAAATGGAGTCCCTGGAGTTGCTTCCCAGTGTGAGTTTGCACAGCATCCTGGCCCCAGACGGAACGGGCCTGGGATCTCTGCTCCTTGCGGGTCTCCAGGGCCACTTGGAGGGGCCTTTGGGAGGACACTATTTTCCCTGTGAAAGAGAAGACAGCTGAGCCACCCTCTCATGGTAACATGCCTCCTTTGGCCCCTTTAGAGCGAGTCCAAGTGGCACCAAGAAGCAGATGCCATGTTCTGTGTCTAGTCCTAGCCAGTCACGCCGAATGGTTTCTGTCCCCACAGTGGGAATTTGTGGCAGCCTTCCGACAGGCTGAGTGCCGGCAAAACGCACTGCCGGATGTGACCGCCGGCATGCGAGTTCTCTTTGAGGACGGCACCGACACCATTGCGGACCTCAGCCTCGCCTACGGAGGGGTAGGGGCTGCGACGGTCAGCGCACAGCGGTCCTGCCAGCAGCTCCTAGGGAGGTAAGCTCCAGCCCTGGCCTTTCAAGTGGCACCGGGAAGGCTGAGTCTGCCCACTGTTGACACAGCTCTGCGAAGACGGGACGCTCTCTGTCTAAGCCCTGCTGGGGCTCTGTCACTTTGATAAATGAATCAAACCTCGCCGAGCCACCCGTGGATGGGGAACAAGTTGCACCGAATAGCCCAGGACTGAGTAGGGTGGGCAGGTGATCTTCCCCCACCTGGCTCTCATTCTCTCATTCATATCAACAGTCCAGCACACCCCCACAGCTGGCTCGGGATGCCCCCACCGCCGAGGACCTTGGGTTTCTCCCTGAGCCCTGCTCAGGCCCTGGCACAGCAGCACTCAGCGTCTGTTGATTATCTGGCTCTCGCGGGTGCCTGGTCCCCCAGCATGTTGCAGGGGCACAGGCCCCTTGCTCACACTGTCAAGCCAAGGGCAGCAGCCTCTTCAGACCTCTGCTTTCCCAAGATAATGTCAAAGTTCCCTCCCTCAAAAGAGGAGGCCTGTCACTGGAGATCCCCTTGCAGAGGGCTCTCGGGGAGGAGACAAGCCAGTCAGGGTGCGATGTAGCAACGATGAAAAATACAACTTTCCTCTAGTTCATAAATGTTTCCAACCCCTCCCCCCACTATCATGATCCAAATTCGACCTTTTAAGTCTGGTAGACCAGAATATGTACACTGGTACAGATAGGAACTGGAAAAACAAGGAATCCAGGGTGGATGATCCCTTCAGGACCAGTGGTGTGAATGGCGATACTGGGAGGGTAGAGGGAGGGTGGGTTGGAAAAGGGGAACCGATTACAAGGATCTACATGTGACCTCCTCCCTGGGGGACGGACAACAGAAAAGTGGGTGAAGGGAGACGTTGGACAGGGCTAGATATGACAAAATAATAATTTATAAATTATCAAGGGCTCATAAGGGAGGGGAAGCAGGGAGGGAGAGGAAAAAATGAGGACCTGATACAGGGGCCTTAAGTGGAAAGCAAATGTTTTGAGAATGATGAGGGCAATGAATGTACAAATGTGCTTTACACAATTGATGTATGTATGGATTGTAATAAGGGTTGTATGAGCCCCTAATAAAACGATTAAAGAAAAGATACATAAAAAAGGAAAGAGGAGGCCTGTCGTGGTTGCTCGGTGCCGTCCAGTCAGTTGGAACCCCACCCCGTCCCGTGCCATCCTCACAGTTGCTTCTGCACTTGAGCCAATTGCTGCAGCCACGTGTCCATCCATCTCCTCTTCTTCACCGCCCTTCCACTTTACCAAGCAGGATGTCCTTCACCGGGGACTGGCCCTCCCCTGACAAAATGTCCAAAGGACATAAGATGAAGTCTTGCCATCCTTGCCTCTCAGGGGCACTCTGGCCGTACTTCTTCCAAGGCAGGTCGCTTTGTCCTTTTAGCGGCCCTTGGAACGTTCAATCTCCTTTTCCAGCACCGCAATCCAGAGGCATCAACTCTTCGTCATTCTTCCTTATTCAATGTCCAACTTCCACATGCAATTCAAAAGAGGAGTCCTCGGGTCTCCAAAATGTCACCGTCCAGTGTGTGGCATCCAAGAGTCCCCGGGTGGTGCGAGTGGTTAGCACACTTAGCGGCCAACTGAAGGTGAGAGGGTAAAGTCCACCTCGGAAGAAAGGCCAGGCCGCCTACTTCCCCAAAATCTGCTGCCTTAAAAATGGAGCATTTGGGAAGGGTTAATGCTAAGGGAACTGAATTAATGTCAGTTAATGTGTACAGATTACAAAAAATGGCAAATGTTCTGTTATATATTTATTACCCCACCACTCCCCCCACACACACAAAAAAACCCTATGGAGCACAGATCTGCTCTGACACACCGGTGGTTGCCATGTGTCAGAATCTACTCAAGAGCAACCAGGTTATGGTTTGGGGTGGGTTTGGGTGTGTTGTTTTGTTTTGTTTTGTTTGCCATCTGTGACCATCTGTGAACTGATTCCTTCCTCGCTGTCCACCCCGCCAGGCGCTGGAATGAGCTGATGCTGGATGAGGCTTGCAGGCTGCTTCTGGAGGAAGTCTCTCTGCCCGCCTCCGCTCCGGGTGGGAGGGTAGAATTCAAGAGGACTCTGGTTGTCAGCTTCCTCTTCAAGTTCTACCTAGAAGTTCTGCAGGAACTCCGGAACCTGCTAGAGCTGTTCTCAGCGCCCGTAAGTGCCTGACTGTCATGTGCTCCTCGGGCACAGTGTGTTGTGTGGGGACAGCGGCTGCGAAGTGCAAACGCACCAGCAGCTCCTGGGGAGAAGGATGGGGCTTTCCTCTCCTGTAGACAGTCCCAGCTCCAGACCCTCAGAGGCAACGCTTCTCTGCCCTGTAGCGTGGCTAGGAGTTGGTATTGACTCAATGGCAGTGCAGTGCAGTTTGCAGCCCTGAACTCACCGCTTTCCCAGGACTGTTCCCAACTGCCACAAAAGCCCAGGCCTTGTCAGATCCTAGCCGGCCCTCCTCGGGGATGCAGCCCAGGGGGCTACAGGGAGCGCGCTCAGGATAGAAACTCGGTGCCCCGCCTCTAGCAGGCAACTTTCTTTAAAATCAACTTTAGTGAAGTATAATTTCTGAACTGTAAAATGCACCTCTTTAAATTCAGTGAGTTTTGACAAGTGTGCACAATTGTGTGGGCCGCCCCTTCACTGTCTACTCACCCACCCCTGCCAGGGGCAACCACGGGTTGGCTTTGTGTCCCAAGAGGCTGTTTTGCTAATTCTAGACGTTCATAATCAATGTGAAATATGAAATAAACTATTTTTCAAAACCACCAAAGCTTATGTATCTGCTCATATTTACATGGCTTGTTTCTAACATTTTCAGATTGGAAGCTTCTGGAATAAATGAACAAGAATAAACACCTTCCTTCTCTCTCTTCTCTCCCTCTTTCCTCTCCTCTGTGCTCCTTTCTCTCATTCTCATCCCGCCTCTCTCTCTAGGTAGAAAGATGGGCTTTCTGCTCCCGTGAAGATGCAGTTTCACTCTGTCCTACCTGGACCATGAGTCAGCATCGACTCCATGACAGCGAGTTTGGATGTGAGGGGCTTTGTTCTGAAAACACTGCTTCCCGGGCATTTTTCCGCTCTAGCTTGATTTTCTAGCATCCAGGAGCCTTCTCCTCCTCCTCTGACCCTGGGGACAACTGTCACCCTTGTCCTCCCGCTCCCTTCACCTTGACACCAGCCCCAAGGACCCACTCTTCGTAGGCTTCTGACTGTCAGCTCCTCAGGGGAAGACCCTCACGGACCACATTCACCAGGACAACTCTCGCTGCCACTTCTTGTCTGAATCAAGGTGTTTCTGAGGAAACCCATCAGGGTCAAGTCTGTTTTGTGGGCAGTGGATCCCTGCTCCTGCTGGTGCGGTTTATCCAGCGGAAGTCTTCTTGCTTCTCTTCCTTTCTGTGGGCCAGGTCACCTGCATGCGCCACTTCCTCGTGGTGGCGTGAGGATCAGACTCAACCCAGTCTAGTTCCGCCTCACGGGGTCACGTGTGGGGGACAGAGACCAAGGGCAAAAAGTGCAGATCTGGCTTACCAGGCTGCCTTGACTTTGTAGCTTCATGGATTTAAAAAAAAAATCCTGGCTTCAGATACTCTCACCCCACCCACCCCCGCCCCACCCCGCGACCCCCCCCCAAAAAAAATCTGTGAAGTGGATTCTGACTCAAGGCAACTTCAAGTACATCAGAACAGAGCTCGGCGCCCCAGGGCTCTCAGTGGCTGGTTTTTGTTTTCATTTTCGTTTCTCAGTAGATTGCTAAGCCTTCCTTCCAAGGAACTGGGTGGACTTGAACTACCAATCTTTCAGCTGGCAGTAGCGCATTAATTATGTGCACATTAGTCATGGCTGCATAAGCCAAATTCATTTTCCCAGAAAGCAGAGCTCACCTGAATCCTAGACTAACCCTCGTTCTTTATTATTCTGAATCCCTTCTCAGGGCGGCAGTCGGCGTTATCCTGAAATTCCAGATCGATTCCTAAGCGCTCTAGAAGATTTTCCTGTAGCCATGCCCCAGGGAATCCAAATGTACCAGGTCAGTGGGTTGAACTGACACCTAGACGTTACGAGATGCCCTCTGAACTGGGCCACCCAGTAAGCTTCTCAGAGTGTTTGGGATTTTGTTGTTTTAATTCTGACTTTCTAGCTGTTCCCAGCACACTGGCTCTTGGTTCAGGTCATGTCAGGGTGACCGGGGATCTGAGATCAGGTGGGAGCTACAGCTACAGCTATTTAAGGCTGCACTGACCTGGAGCCACCAAACTCTGACTCATCTGCAAATACCTGAGAGATCCTCAAAGGGATACTCGGTGGGCGTGTGACCAGCTGCGCCCAGCGTGGGGGAAGGACAGGGCCAGGGAGTGATGAGGTGCAGCCGTTAGCCCCGATTGTAAAATTTTAATCTCCAGTCAATCAAACAAGGGTCCTGTGCAGAATGGACCTCCTCGTTCTTGTAGGGCAATTAAGAAATTTTCTATCATTGCAAGAGAACAGCTCCTCCCCTGCAAATGTCACTTCAGAACACCTTTGCTGAGGACAGAATAAACACTTTCTTGGGCTTCCTGTGTAATCTCCCAGTAAGGTTGGGTGGTGTTTTAAAGGGCGGCCAACGCTCCGTGCTATACACTTCCCTCCTCTCACTCCTATTTCATCACCACGATCAGGTTTATCATTGGAAAGGTGAGAGGTGAGAGTGCAGAGGGGGAGAACCCTTGGGGGCCAGATGAAAGGGAACATGCCTCACAAAGAGAAGCCTGTGTGCCCTTCGCCCCCTTAACAATTCTGCCACAAGACTGGCCTGGCCTCAGGCATTGTCACCGAATTAGAACGCCAATTCCCCATCCTAGTTACATCATGAAACTGCCACTCGCACCATTTAACTCCCTCCAGGGACCTGTTCTCTGAGAGGGACCGTGTGACCGCTTGTCGGATTGAAAATGTCTAGATCGATTCTTGTCTTCTTCTGTAGAGTGTGGATTCCCACCAACCTCTCCAAGATCCAGTTGGACGTCCCATCATGCACCTGTCAGGTCTTAAACATGCCACTGGGGAAGCCGTGTTCTGCGACGACATCCCTGTGGTGGATAAAGAACTCGTCATGGCCTTGGTGACCAGCACCAGGGCCCATGCAAAGATCACGTGAGTCACTGGAAAGGTTTTGAAGCACCTTTTAAAAGCGCACCTATGGGTTCCCGCTGAGCAATGTGCCATTTCCCAGAAATGCCCTGACCCTAAAGGACCTAAAATAGAAAGAATAAAGAAAAGCTCAGAGAAGAGAATCCAGAAATGACCAGAACCCCTAGCCCCTGCTCCCTGCTTCCATCCTCCACCTCACAGCACCTTGTCTCCTACTGCAGCGTCAGGCATGACCACAGAAGCAACTGGAAGAGAGCGCTGATATTCAGCTGGTGTTAAATCACTCAAATAGCGACGTAGTCCATGACCGCTATCATGAGCTTCTCCAAAAAATAGATTCTTTACCACCGTCACACTCAGGCCCTCCCTGTAGCTAAACTGTTACCACCTGGCTCAGCAGCCGACCTCCTGCCCGTAGTCCATAGCATGACTCTTCTCACAGGTCAGGACATAAACTGGGGGCTAGGGGGGAATCAGTTGCCCTCAAGTCAGTTCCGACTCATGGTGACCCTATGTGTGTCCGAGCCGAACTGTACTCCATAGCGTTTTCAATAGCTGATGACTGTAGAAATAATCATCAGGTCTTTTGTGCAAGGTGCCTGCTGTTGGTGGACTTGAGTCTCTAATCTTTGGGGTCTGTTCATCGTTTGAACACCCCACGCCCTGCTCAGGGATCCCAGGCTGGGCCAGCTGCTGTTTGCTTTGCACTATCCCTTCCTTGGACTTGGGGCCCTGAAGTTTGCTAATTTCTACTTCTTCAATATTATATCTTTGCTCAGCTCGATTGATTCATCTGAGGCCCTTGAACTACCAGGGGTAGTTGATGTGATAACAGCAGAGGATATTCCAGGAACCAATGGTGCAGCAGATGACAAATTGTTGGCTGTGGATGAGGTACAGATGACCATGCAGATAATCCCCAAGGACCGTTTCCTCTGGCGGTCCATTGCTTTCCAGCTATCTCTGTCATTTGGTGGTGGGGGTGGGGGGGCCGGGGTTAAAGCTGAGCCTTCTAGCTTCTCTCTACCCCTGTCATCTTGTTTTCAGACCTACTCTTCTGGAGACAGGAAATAAGATAATAAAAGGAAACCTATTACACTAATGTGGAAAGTCACAGTTGTGCCCCTAACTATATGCTCTTCAGTCAATTCAGTCTCATCTGAAGAATATATGCAAGGAACTGATCTGTGTCAGAAAGATCTAGAAATGGAAATTTAAAAAAAATCACAATCACTCCTTCATCTACTCTGAGCACCCCACCCCCTTCCTGGGCCACTCCCAACCTCCCACATGCCTTCCCATATCCATTTTTAATGATGTTACCCTTTCTATCTTGGACCTTTTAATTAAACTCAACAATCATCCCCTGGGCACTTTATTTTAGAGCCAGACAGCCTACGATCAGGATCTAACTCCCCCACTCACTAGCTATGTGACTTTTGGTTCCGTCATCTATAAAATGGGAATAACCATAGCACACCCCCTATTCGGCTGCTGTGAGAGTTAAGTGCGCCCATACATGCTGGCTGCTTAGAACAATGCTTGGAATGTGACGGCTCTCGGTAAGGGTCATTATTGTCACTATTATGGCTTTGGTGATAGAAATGAAACTGGAGATAATATGCTAGGATTTTGCAAGAGCAATGATTCTTCATCATAGTTACTGTTGTGCAACCACACAAAAGGTGACTATGCACATGGATTTCTCCAGCTGCGATACACAGAAATCACATTGACTACATCAATGGAAAGAGACAATAGAGAAGCTGAATATCAACAGCTAACATGAGGCCAGGGGCCAACCATGGAACAGACTATCAATTGCTCATATGTAAATTCAGGTTGACACAGAAGAAAATTAAAGCAAGTCCCTGAGAGCCAGAATATGACCTTGACTCTATCCCACCTGAGTTTCAAGACTATCTCAAGAACAGATTAGCTGCATTGAACACTAGAGACAGGAGACCTGATGAGCTATGGGATGATACCAAGCACATTATACATGAAGAAAGTAAGAGATCATTCAAAAGACAGGAAAGAAAAGAAAAGATCAGTATGGATATAAGAAGAGACTCTGAATCATAGAGTAATGCACATGGAAAATGATGACCTAAAAGAGCTAGATAGAAAATGTCAAAGGGTGGCTCAAAAGACAAAGTAAATTGTTATAATGAAATGTATTAAGACCCAGAGCTAGAAAACCAAGAGGGAAAGACTCACTCAGCAGATCTTAAACAGAAAGAACTCAAGAAAAATTAAAGCCTTGAATTTCAATATTAAAAGACCCTATGAGCAAAATATTGAATGATGCAGGATGCATCAAAAGAAGATGGAAACAATACACTGTCACTGTACCAAAAAGAACTAGTGGACATCCCACCATGTCCAGAGGTAGCATATAAGCAAGAACCAATGGTGCTGAAGGAAGAAGTTCAAACAGCACTGAAAGCGTTCATCAAAAACAAGGCTCCAGGAATTGGTAAAATACCAATTAAAATGGTTGAACAAGCTGATGAAGCAATGAAAGCACTCATTCATCTATGCCAGCGGTTCTCAACCTATGGGTTGCAACTCCTTTGGGGGTCAAACAACCTTTCACAGGAGTGACCCAATTCATAGTAGTAGCAAAATTACAGTTATGAAGTAGCAACAAAAATTATTTTATGGTTGTGGGGTCATCACAACATGAGGAACTGTATTAAAGGGCCATGGCATTAGGAAGGTTGAGAACCACTGATCTATGCCAAGAAATTTACAAAATAGCTACTGACTGGAAGAGATCAATATACATACTCATTCCAAAGAAAGGTGACCCAACAGAAAGCTCATATTATAAAACAATATTATTAATATCACAAGCAAGTACAATTTTGCTGATGATCATCCAACAATGGAGCTACCAGAGGTTCAATGCTGGTTCAGAAGAGGATGTGGAACAGGGAATACCATGCTGACATCAGATAGATCTTGGCTGAAAGCAGATTATATGAGAAAGATGTTAATTTGTGTTTTATTAACTCTGCTAAGGCATTCGACTGTGTGGATCAGAACAAACTAGGGACCTTAAGAAGAATGGGAATTCCAGAACACTTCATTGTGCTCATATGAAACTTGTACATGGATCAAGACAGAGTTGTGCAAACAGAACAAGGACATACTGCATAATTTAAAATTAGAAAGATATGCATTGGAGCAAGGCTTATTAACAACCTGCCATATACAGAGGACATGACTTTGCTTGCTAAAAATGAGGAAGACTTGAAGCACTTGCTGATAAAGATCAAGGATTGCAGCCTTAAGTATGGATCACAACTCACTGTAAAGAAGATCAAAATCTTCACAACTGGACTAATAGGTAGCATCATGATAAATGGAGAAAAGATTGAAGTTGTCAGCGATTTTTGTCTTAATTGGATCCACAGTCAAGAGATCAAAAGATGTGTTGTATTTACCTAAATCTGTTGCACAATATCCCTTTAAAGTGTTGAAAAGCAAGGATGTTACTTTGAGAACTAAGGTGCACCTGACCCAAGCCATGGTATTTTCCATGGCCTCATATGCATGTGAAAGTTGGACATTGACTTAGGAAGATAGAAGAAGAATTAATGCACTTGAATTATGATGCTAGAAAAGAATATTGGAAGGACCATGGACTGCCAAAAGAACAGACAAATCTGTCTTGGAAGAAGTACAGCCAGCATGCTCCTTAGAGGCCAGGAGAGGAGAGTTCATCTCACATACTTTGGACATGTTGTCAGGAAAGACCAGTCCCTGAAGAAGGACATTGTGCAGGGTAAAGTAGAGGGACAAGCCAAAAAAGACGACCTTCAGCAAGATGCATTGACACAGTGGCTACATCAATGGGCTCAAACATAAAGAACAATTGTGAAGATAATATGGGGCGGGGCAGTGTTTCAGACTCTTGTACACAGGGCTTGTATGAGTCAGAACTGGCTCAATGGCACCTAACCACAACACACTTAATGTCACACCTCGGTTCGCCCGACAGCTATTTCTCCTCCAACCATGGGATGGATGCAGCGCCATCCTCTTAGCGGAACTTTAGATGAAGAGGTTGGCTGTCATCTAGTGACAGACTATTTTTTAAAGTTCTCCTTATTATAAACTCTTAAAGGACACCATGAACCAAGCTTGATAAAGAACACAGCAGAGTCAGATCACAGCCAATCTCACACTCAACGCTGGGGTTTACAGTCATTGAGTAACATGGGCAATAGGACTGTCTGTATTGTATCTTTTTTTTTTTTTTCATTCAAAAAATCTTCGCCAAGCACATACAGTTGAGTGGGACTCAAGTGTGATGCCTAAGACGACAAGCGGTATTGATTGTTAAGGCTGCGCTCAGTCTGGGCGCCTCCCTCCCGCCCCCCACCCAGAAATGGCCGCTCTTTCCTGTGTGTACGTTTCACAGGTGCTGTGTGTGGGCCAGCTCATCTGTGCTGTGGTTGCAGAGACAGAGGTCCAGGTGAAGCGAGCGATGGAAAAGGTAAAGATCACCTATGAAGATCTGGAGCCCGTCATCTTCTCTATCGAGGTAGGTGGGGTTCAGTCTTTCCTAGAGTTTGAGAAGCCACTCTGCCTTTGTAAACATGTGTGTGCAGACTCATTTGGGGTTCTAATTTGTTCTTATCACGGGCTTTCTCTGGAAGACTTGCTTTCTCTGGAAGATATTACTTGTATGCACTGGAATAAACTTTAGCTCTAAAATGTATAGGGGGGGGAACAACAACCCCAGAATAGATGTGTGTCTCTGACATTCAAAGTGTCTAGAATGGTCAGTCCAAGTGCCAGGGACCCTGGTGCACAGTGCTGCTGAAGTTCTAGTCGTTCAATCTATACTCCTGACAGCGGGAGACAGGAGGTGATGAGGAAGAACACGCACGTCCCCTCCTTTTAAGGACATTTCCCAGAAATTTCCCATACCTCTTCCCCACAAATGACGTGAGGAGCAGGATCAGATGGATTGGGGAGGAAGTACTGTGTTCAAGGTGGAGCCCACGCAGCAATGGGACTTGTGTGGGAGACTTCCACAAACATCGCCACTGACACTCTGGCTTTGGATGATGAAACTCAAGATAATGCTGCTTGAGAGGATCATGGGAAATTCAGATGTGGACTAGAATGTGCAGGCTCTGATTCCATGAGAAAAGTTTACGTCTTTGAGCACAAAAGTTGACAATAACAAAAAAGTCTAAAGGCTCTAGTAAAATTCAAGCTGAAACCTCTGTGCTTATTCCCTAGGGCTGCTATAACCAGTTACCACAAACTAGCTGACTTACAACGACAACTTTATTCTCACACATTTGAAATCAACACTCGCTCTGCAGACTCTGGGAGAGACGCATTGCTTGCAGGAGACTCCCGGCATCTTTGGCTAGTAACAACATAACTTTCTTCCCTGCCTCTGTCTTCATACGGCTTCCACATCCCCTGCCCTCACCCTATGTACCATTATGTCTCAAATCTCCCTGCCCTTTCTCTTTTAAAGATGCCAATCATTGGATTTAGAGCCATCCTAAATCCAGGAAGATCGCATCCCATGAACCCTTTGCTACATCTGCAAAGACCCGATTCTCAAATAAGGTCACATTCTTGAGTGCCAAAGGTTTGGGAAGGATGTAATTCAACCTACTATCCCATTCACTCATCCCAAATTCAATGCCAGATACTCTATCAAGTACAACTTGCTCAACATTCAATACTGCTCAATTATTTTTAAATGGCATGGCGCGTTAGTTCTCTAAACCAAATCAACTTCAACTCCACATTTCCATTTGACAAATTTATAGGAATTTGAATTCATTTTCTCTGCTCATTCTTCTTCCTTGGGTTGTACTTCTGGTTTTAACATGGGTTTTTGGATTTTTTTCATTCTAATCCCACTGTTATCAGGGGATGTGGCAATTGCCAAGCAGTAGCCCAGAGGTCACACTCATTAAATATCCTCAGATTCAGAATGGTTAGAGATCCAAAGTTCTCTTAAAGGAGGTGTGTGCTTAAAGCCAGCAAAAACTTTTCATTACAATCAAAGTTAAGCTTCAAATAAACATTTTAGTAGAATCTTGTTTAGTTATTTATAAGTTTGTTTAAAAGCATGTTTTAATAATCACTCTGCTGTTATGTGTCTCAGTGTCCTGACTTAAAAAATAAAAATAGTTAAAAAATAAAAATAAAAAAGAACTCATTCTCCAGGCGGCCTTGAGAAAGCATGTTTCACCTCTTTGCCCTCAGTTTCCTCAGCCGGAAAATGAAGATCATAGAATTAGTGTGAGGATGCATCTAAAGCATGCAGGGCCGTGCTGGACACAAAACAAACACTAAGAATGTTAGCTGCGCCTGTCATTACCACTTCTAGTATCATCACCAGCAAGAAAGGTCTGAGGCTATTGAAGACCTAAGGCTGCAGAACATGGTGCCATTCTGAATTAGGAGCACATTTGGGGTCTAATGGCTAACCAAAGACCAGCTGCCTATAGGCTGCACCCAGAGAACCACAGAATGGAATGGCTTGCACATCTGTGTGTGAGTTGATGCAAATAACTGTTAAGGAAACAAAACTGAACAAAGGGCAAGCAAGACCCTTGTCAGGTGTCCAAAAACAAAAACAATAAACAAACCTCCCAAAATGTTGATTGGGCTTTTGTGCCTCAGAGACATGTAAGGATGTCAGAGGAAACCAGCCTCCAACAACGGAAGGGCCAAAGGCACAAATGTATGGCGATCATATACTGTGTGTGCTCGTGTATAAGTCAAGCTTCTCCACACATTTTCTATGAAGTTTTTGTGATAAAATTACGTAGCTGCCTCGGCTGATATTTGGGTTGGCTTATACTCGAGTATATGTGGTATAAAGATCATAGAGGGTAAGAAAGATAAGAGAGTAAAATAAGAGTCAGACACATTTTATGCTCACCTCAGCTCCTCTTGATGGACCACATGAAACTAGGGGAAGTGAGAGTAAGCCTTTGCTCTCTTGCAACATTTTAAGTAGCCTTAAGACATGCATATTCAGTAGTTACATGCATCACAAAGTGGGTGGTATCTACACTAAGGCCCCTGAGCTCACAAGTGAGGAAACCTAATACCTGCATTGGGGGGAGGTACAAGGGGCTTGGGTGGCAGTGGGAAGAGAGAAAAGGATGTCTGCTTCTATAGGGAGATACAATCAACCATGTGTTCACTTAAAGGCAGCATAGCTGTTACGAAGAGAATCTGTGGGAATGAGACTTACAAGCAGGACAATGTACTTGGACTTTACCTCTAACTTACCAAAGTGGAGGCTTTCCTACTGTAGAATACCAGCTTTCTAGATTCCCTCTGTTATAACTTAGGGAAGATAGTCCTCATATTTCCTTCAGTGTTAGTTTCCCACATAAGGCCTTATGTCCTCTCCCTCAACACAGCTTCAGTCCTTCCAGATTTCTAAGCTGCAGGCTCCTGTCCATGACCTAACTAGTCAAACACCAGTGTTCTCATCCAGGGAAAAGGCAAAAATAAAGGGCCCAGAACCTCACCTAAAATGCATTTGGATTTATCAACTGTTCTTGGAGAAGAGGAATTCTCAGCCTAGACCATCACAGTAGCCCCCACCCCCCATCCCCGGCCAGGGCTCAGTTCTGAACACAGATTCCTTCTTTTTAAAAATAGAAAAACTTTAGTCGTTACATGAGTGAAGGTTTTCCAAGCAGATCCTCAGTTTTACTTTCCACAGTTCGCACGCACATTCGGTTCCATTTCATTCGTTGCAATCCTCTCCATGCACCCTCATCACTCAGCCCACTTCCTCCCTGTGCTTCCTGTTCCCAACCCTCCTTCTTCCCTGACCCACTGAAACTTGTCCTGGGGTAAATGCTGCCTTTTGCGCATTAACTGGTCACTTATTCTATCCCAGGGGTGAATTCGGTTCCAGACCTGGAGGATCACTAAGGGCCATAGTCTCGGGGGTCCCCTAGTTGCCCTCTTAAGATCTCACTAATCCTGGCTACTTTTCTCTGTAATCAAGAAGACACCCTCCCTGGCGTCTCCTCTCTGTGGGAGGCCCCTAGGACTCACTTGCTTGCAGGACGCTTTCACAGGTTTCAGTAGACAGCCATTTTCAGGCTGTGACCGGCTGTGGCAAAAATGACCGGCTGATGGAAGAAACAGTAAGAAAAATCAACTTGTGTGCTCTTTTCTCCCCTGTCACTCAGGATGCCATAAAACATAATTCATTCCTATGCCCTGAAAAAAAACTTGAACAAGGAAACATTGAGGAGGCATTTGAAAAAGTGGATCAAATTGTAGAAGGTAAGCTGCTCAGGGTACTTAGTAGAATCTATGTCTAATTCTAAGGAGCCCTGGTGGCATAGTGAGTTATAAATTGGGCTGCAAACAGTAAGGTCAACAGTTTGAATCTGCCCGTTGCTCTGCAGGAAAAAGAGGGAGCTTTCTGTTTCTGTCAAGATTTACAGCCTTGGAAACCCGCAGGGGCAGTTCTACCCTGACCTACAGTCAGAGCTTACTCAATGGCAGTGGGTTGGCTCTTTGGTTTATACCTAATCCTATTGAAGCGAGACATACGGAGTATGTTTCTCCCCCTCAGAAAGATCATCCTTTAAAGTCTTAGCACTTTGCCAAATTTATGTCTTGTTCTTCTGTCGTTTTGTAGATGTGCATATGTATGCACATCGTAGAAATGTTCCTTCTTAGACTTACAACCAACATCTTAGAAATGTTCCTTCTGTTGACTGTTGAAGGGTAGAAAGCAACAGTCAACAGAAGGAACATTTCTAAGATGTTGGTTGGTTGGGACCAGACTAAGAAATGGAACTTAGTTCTTTTTTTTTTTAAGATCATTTTATTGGGGGCTCTTACAGCTCTTATAACAATCCACACATCAATTGTATCAAGCATATTTGTACATGTTGCCATCATTATTTTCTAAACATTTACTTTCTATTTAAGCCCTTGGTATCAGCTCCTCTTTTCTCCTTCCCTCCCCCACACTCCCACCCTCGTGACCCCTTGATAAATTAAAAATTATTATTTTCATATCTTACAGCGAACGCGCTGTCTCCCTTCACCCAAGGTTCTGTTGTTCATCCCCCTAGGACGATGCATTAATTGTTGCGGTCAGTTCCCCCTTCCTCCCCATCTCCCCCCATTTTCCCCCTATCCTCCTGGTATCATTAGTTCGATCTCTGCTGAGGGGTTTATCTGACCTGGATTCTCTGTGTTGTAAGCTCTTATCTGTACCAGTGTACATGCTCTGGTCTAGCCAGAACTGAAAGGCAAGACTGGGGTCATGATGGTGGGGCTGAGGAAAAGAACCAGAGGAATATTGTGTTTCATCGGTGCTTTACTGCACCCTGGTTGACTCATCCCTTACTTGTGACCCTTTTGAGATAGGATGTCCTACTGTCTACAGATGGGTTTGGGGTCTCTGCTCTGACCCCCATCATTCTCAACAATATGGGGTTTTTTTTGTTTTGGGTCTTCTGATGCCTGTTACCTGATTCCATGGAAACCTTATGATCACATTGACTGGTGTGCTTCTTCCATTTGGGCTTTTTGCTTCTCAGCTAGATTGGTGTGCTTCTTCCATTTGGGCTTTTTTGCTTCTCAGCTAGATGACCGCTTGTTTAACTTCAAGTCTTTAAGACCCCAGATACCAAATCTTTTGATAGCTGGGCACCATCAGCTTTCTTCATCACATTTCCTATGCACCCGCTTTGTCTTCAGGGATCATGCCGGGAGGGTGAGCCTCACAGAATGCCAGGTTGTTAACTCAAATGGAACCTGGTTGTTCTTATATTCAGAACTGTAGTCCTTGACCCAGATCTTTAGTTGCCACAGCACCCACCCTCGGGAATTCCCTTGTGCTTCTGCTTAACAGGAGAGGTCCATGTGGGTGGACAGGAACATTTCTACATGGAAACACAGAGGGTGCTTGTGATTCCAAAAACAGAGGACCATGAGCTGGACATTTATGTGTCAACACAGGATGCAGCCCACGTGCAGGTGAGGTCCAGGGTCATTGCTACACCCCCCACCTCCTACCTCCATCATGGCAGTTGATTCCCACAGCCCCTCAGTGGGCAGCCATCTTGCTTCTAGAAACTTAGGATCCAAGTAGTGTTGGATGTCAATAAAGCAGTTAAGGTGCCAGGAGCCCACCAGCCACCCTCCATACCCCATCCTACCCCCTGGTCTTCCCAAGTACATAAAAGAACAGCCACAGTCATTTAGGTTGAAAGACAATGTTCATTGTACCATAGTTCAATAGATTCTGTGATTGGATGACAACACTGAAATCTGTCTGTAACTTGATTTTTCTCTTAAAAGATTCATTACAGATAACCTTTGCCATCAACACATCACTTCATGGCACATTTTCATTTTCCTGGTCACAAAATGCTCTCAGTTTTAGTGTTTATATATATTTTCCTTCACCTCCCTGGGTCTGAGCCGAGTCTGGAAATTTGGCTAAGAATCCAGCTTCTGGCAGGCACCCAGAAGTCCTGACGTTCCCTTCAGCAGGAATGGTGGTTCCATGAAGGTGAACGATGCAAGACAGATTCAGACTATCTCAACCTTTTTATTTTCATCTTTTGCTTGTTTGTGTGTGTGCCAACAGTAGACATGAAGGAGTTCTACTGTGACGTTGTAGTTCAGGAAACACAAAGCTCCTTGGCTATTTGGCTCTTGTAAGACCTTCCCATGATCCTCCTTTTGCAGAAAACCGTGTCCTCCACACTCAGCATCCCCATCAACAGGATTACCTGCCATGTGAAGCGAGTCGGTGGGGGCTTTGGGGGGAAAGTGGGAAGACCAGCTACATTCGCGGCTATTGCAGCTGTGGGTTCTTTCAAGTAAGTGATTGGGGGATAATAGGTGGTATAGGGGTGAAGGCAAAGCCTCAAACCCACGGCTGCTGTCACAATGAGCTGTGTGACCTTAGGCAACTCAGCCTCCTGTCTCTCTTTCTGTAAAGTAAAAGAGAGATAATAATATCTACCCTCCCACTCCCCTAGAGTTACAGCACGCAGAAGGACTTTGAAAAGGTTAATACTAGGCTATAAAAAGAAATACTGTTATTATTGCTCAAACTAGTGCTCAAATCTTACTGCCCCAACTCTGAGCTCCAGGGGAAGGTGACCCGTTTCGAGGCGTGGCGAGTCATCCTGCCAAGGAGGAGATCATTGTTAGTTGTCAGCTGTGACTCATACAACCCCCTGTATAAGAGAATGGAACATTCCCAGGCCTGTGCCATTTCACAATTGTTACAATGCTCAACTCCATTGAAATCTGTCCACCGTGGGTGACTCTGCTGGAGATTGAAATACCGATGGCATCACTTCCAGCTGCACAGCAACATGCAAGCCATCACAATATGACAGACTTTCAGGGTGGTGGAAGAGGTGCTTGCTCCCCAACATTTCCCTCCTACCCACAGCCCCAGGAGAGGATGGGCTGGCAAAAGAAACATTCTCCATCTTCTGCCTCCCTTCACCTGGGAAGGGCTGGCTCCTCCTCAGAGCCTCTCGGGCTAACCTTAACCTTGCAGGTTCACTCCTTGGAAAAGAGAAGGATCTTTCTACTCCCATAAAGAGTTACAGTCTCAGAAACCCACAGGGCAGTTCTACCCTATCCTATAGGGTTGCTTTGAGTTGGCATCCACTCAATAGCAGTGAGGTTGGGTTTTTTGGCCTTGTATTCCTATAAAGAGTTACAGTCTTGGAAACCCACAAAGGCAGTTCAACCCTTTGTTCCCTATGAATCAGCATGAATCTGATGGCCGTGAGTTCATTTTTTGTCTCCTTTGTAGCCAGTGGTGGAACTGTGCAAAATGACAAACCAAGGTGAAGGTCAAAGTCGAAACCTTACGAACACAAATTTACAGTCTTGTGACATTAAACTCATCAGCTGGATCGCTAACCATTTAGTTTTAGATCACGTAAAACAATGGTGATTTAATCATATCTTAATTCAAATAATCAATCAAGCACATTGTAGGAACTTAAATATAAGTGGGATGGATGGATAAATGAGTAGATGGATATAGGCATGGATGGATGGATGGATGGATGGATGAGTGAGTGAATAAATGGGTGGGAGGACAGATGAATGGATGGGTATATAGTTAAGTGAGAGGATGGATAAGTAGCAGGGTGAACAGGTAGATAGGGAATAGATGGGTGGGATGGAGAAGCTGGCTAACTAAGATGTGTTTCTTTAGAACGGGTCGCCCCATTCGCCTTGTTCTTGATCGAGAAGATGATATGTTAATAACTGGAGGAAGACATCCACTATTTGGAAAATACAAAGTGAGTATTAAAAATGAACTCATTAATATGTCTCATTTTATGACTGGTTTTGTCCTCTATTATTTTAATTTTGATAAATTCTGAAAGTAAACACTAGTCTTAGCATCCAAAGTATTTGATGATGAATTCTCATATCATGTTATGAGAAACTTTTAATAAATCCAGAGAATAATTCATAAGAAGTTCAGATAATACAATTTCAGATAATAATAAAAACATTCCATGAAGAATTAAAGGTTTATTTAAAAATACAATTTCAGATAATAATAAAAACATTCCATGAAGAATTAAGGGTTTATTTCTGTCAGTGTTTCCTCAAAGACAAAAAGAACACTGTGAAAGAAGCTACAAATGTTTTTATAGCAAGTCTTGTTTATAAAAATATTTTGCAGGTTTAGAAATGTTTTATAGAAATGGTTAGAAAATAATTGGCCAGTTGAACAGCACAGTCAGATGGACCAGTGTTTCTCCCAAATAGTTCTGAACATTTCACAAAAGGTCTTTGCCAGGGTAAAAGAATATGCTAGGTCTATACCAAGGGCTCAAGTAGAAAGAACATGTTTTGAGAATGATGATGGCAACAGATGTACAAATGTGCTTGACACAATGGATGGATGGATGGATTGTGTTAAGAGTTGTACGGGCCCCCAATAAAATGATGTTTGTTTGTTTTTTTAAAATACCACGAGCTGCTAGAAGAGCAAATAAATCTGTATTGGAAGAAGTTAAAAAAAAAAAAAAAGATGCCAGGTAATGAAATGATCTGAAATCCTTTCAAACCACATTCATTGCATTTTTTTATTTTACAATGATTGTACTATTTAAAAAAAAATACTTGCTGTCCTAATCTATCCCATAGGATCCATGTGAGTCAGAAGGCATGGCAGTGAGGGCTGCAGTACTATACATTGCTCAGTAAAACCTTCCTTCATGATTCATCAAAGATAAACCTTACCCACCCACTTGTCAAAATGACCACAACTTCTGAGTTTGGGAATTTTCCTACATTTTCAAATTGTCCTGTGATTTATTGGTCAATATTTCCCGTAGAGTCAGTGATACTAACCACCTAGTTATATGGTTTCTTCAGATTTACTTACCCCTGTTTTCAGAAAGGGATAGGCAAATGTTATTGTAGTACGACAACAAAATAAAATGGAGAAGAAACAAACAAACAGTTGCTATCAAATCACTTCCAACTCCTGTGTGTAGGGTGGGCCTGTGCTCCACGGGGGGCTGGGGCTGACTTATTGGAAGTGGGATGCCAGGTCTCTCGGGGCGCTCGCAAATCCTCGGCCTTTGTTAACAGCCAGCTGTTCCTTCATGCCACCCAGGAGTGCCTAGGCCTTTTTATACAAAGGTGTGGGATTTTTCTGTTCCGTCTACACTGTCGAGATAAAACGGTGTGGGAGAAGGTGGCAACCTGAGAGAAAGGAAGGCCCCCTTAAGTGATCCCAGAATAGCAACAATGGCCTGGCTCCTGGAGCCTGAGAGCTTCCCAGGCCATCCAGGCGCCCATTCCCAGATCTCTGCACCAGAGGCTTTTCCCAACAAGATTCTGGGATTCCTTCCCGGCCCGCTCGCTTGCCAGAGCCTCTTCCCCAAGGCAGGGAACCACAGACTCAATTAGAAGGGAAGTCAGGAAAGCCGGGAGGGGAATGAAGGTGAATCTTCCAAGACTGAGGAAGCAGAGGGAGGCAAGCCAGGGCTTGAGGACTCCGCACAGCCGGGAAATGACAGACTCCGAGGAAGAGGCCTCTCTCGGACGGGCGGGCGGGGAGGCAGGGAGCAGGGGGGTCTGCATCCTGTGACCCCGGGCTGTGGCTGACGCTTGGTATCGAAATCACAAACCCATCGGTAAAAATGTCCCTTCTGTGCTGGCAGGTGGGCTTCATGAACAGCGGCCGAATCAAAGCTCTGGACATCGAGTGCTACATTAACGGGGGATGCACCCTGGATGAGTCGGAGCTGGTAGGGGCCTGGGGAAGCAGCCTCGCATGTGAAGGTCTCCATTAGTCCGGAATCAGCATGTGCTTCAAGTCGCAAATGAATCCCATAGCAGTTCAAATCTTTCTGCTGGGCGGTGGCAGGGGAGGGTAGTAGAGCAGAGCGGTGTCCGACATATGTGAACATCTCCTTGTATTTTAGGTAGCAGAATTTCTCACATTAAAGCTGGAAAACGCATATAAAATCCACAACCTCAGGTTCCGGAGCCATGCGTGCCTGACCAACTTACCATCCAACACGGCCTTCCGTGGATTTGGCTTCCCACAAGGAACCCTGGTGACGGAGGCTTGCATCACGGCCGTGGCTGCCAAATGTGGCCTTCCTCCAGAAAAGGTAAGGATGAAACCAGGGTACCCACCCAGGTTGACACCAAGGACCGGGCATCTCAGCCCTGGAGCACAGCACAGCCGATCCCGGACTCAGAATTCACAATAAGTTGTTCTCTGTAAGAACGCATCTTCCTCAGGGTGTTCCCTCCCTCCTTAAACAAAACAAACATCAAGCCACAAAAGAACCAGTTGGCTCTGACTCGGGGCCGCCCTCTGGTGGCGCATGGCCACTCTGAAGAGCCCAACTGTGTTCCAAATGGCTTTCAATGGATGAGCTTTCTCAAAGCAGATAACCAGACCTTTCTTCCCAGCCGCCTACGGATGGGCTCAAACCACCAGCCAAATTGTAATAGTAGGAACCAGGCCCTTGACCATTCACACCACACCAGGGACGCCTCCTTTAGCAAACATTTCCTTTTATTGGTAAATAATCATCATTGCTTCCCTTTTCTTTTTCCCTTCTTTTGTTAGCTCCGGAGATGAAGCATGGCTAAGGGTCATAGTCTTGGGGGTTCCACCAGTCTCTACCCGACCAGCCAGCGTGGTCGCTTAGTTTTGGATTTGGTTTTACATTTCTTCCCCAGTCCGCCGCAGACCTTCCCAGGGCGTCACTTTCAGAGCAGCTGGTCGTGGTCGCCGAGTACCCGCATTAGTTCTTCTGGCCTCAGGTGTGAAGGCTGATATTTGTGTGGCCCATCGGCCCATTGGACGCCTTGTTCCCTATGTCTTCCAGTTTTCATCGCTCCAATAGTTGCGCCTCGGTGTTGCTCACACTCACCCACTCACTGCTGAGTCAGTGCTGACTCATAGCCACCTGCTGGGGGTTTCCAAGACTGTAAATGATTGCAAGAGTAGAAAGCCCAGTCTCTCCCGAGGGCTGCTGGTGGCTTTGAACTGCCAGCTATGCAGATCACAGCCGACCTCATCCACTACACCCCCAGGGTTGCCCACAAGTTTTCAATACCCCGGTCACGAGTCACCAAAGTAGAATGTAGAACATTGCCAAGTGAGCTTGGTGTTCCCCACGCCCATGGTCCTGAACCCCAGGCCCAGCAATTCATCCCTCAAGGTGTTTAGTTACGTCCCACACGTCTTTAGATCTTTGCCCCTGGATGCTCCACCCTGTTCAAGGATATACTTGAAGCAGGGTAAATGCACATACATACGCAATTACCCTCTGTCAGATGTATAGCTGCTCATAGGTGGAGTGATCATTACTTTTCAAAAGTGAACAGTACTAAAGTCATTGAAGTTAAGAATGGAAAGTCCTTATAACTTTGCAGACTCCCCCAGAGAAACAGACCGATTGGGGATATCAATCTATAGACTTGCCTTAAGGAATGCCTCCTGTGACTGTGAGGGCTGGCAAGTCTGCCATCTGCAGGGCAGGCCGGCAGACCGGCCACAGAGACAGAACTGAATGCTGCTCGTCCCTACTTCTCCAGGATACCTTCATCTTTGCTCCTCGGGATTCAACTCCACTGTCAGGGTAATCTCCTTTATTGAAAGCTAACTGATAAGTCTAACAAACCACACCTACAGAGTACCCTCCCCGCACCACCCAGACTCGTGCTCATGATTTGTTTCTATGCTTATCAGTGTATTTGGATTCATACACACAGAAGCATTGGCATATGAACGTATGTATACATATACAGTTGTTTACCAAAAGAGAACCATATTGTGCATAAGAGAATCTACACCTAACTTTCTCGGCCTGCCAAGAATAGCATGACCCTCTTTACATCTAGGTAGCATAATCTTCTCTTGGGACATGTCATCAGAAGACTTGGTAAGGTAAAGGGTCAGCAAAAGAGAGGCAAACTTACAATGGGTTGGAATTAACGCAGCGGCTGCCCTGATGGGTTCCCACCTGGCAATCACAGTGAGGATGGCACAGAGCTGCCTCTGTGGCACCCGGCCACGACAGGATGATCTGCTTCCTTCTTTTTCATGACTGAATAGTATTCCATAATACAAATGCGCTGTACTTTATTTAACAACTCCACAGTTAATACATAGTCAGGCCATGACCCATCTTTTACTATTACAATGATGTTGCAATAAACATCAGGTTTAATACCGTGTATAGCCTGTGCACCTTCTAGGAGATATTACACAAGATAGTATTTTAGAGGGTTTTCCTTTGGTACACTTCTCCAGCTATGACAATAGATTACTCGAGGATAGACTCAAGTTGTCTACTCCAGTCTCTGACTCTTACAGATAAAGAAGACAATCTGCCTCCATTCAAGGTCCCTCTACCCTCCAGGCCTTCACAGACCCACCTGCCACTGTCCTCCATTTTCAGCAGGGAGAAACCCTGATTGACTCACTGAAGAAGAGATGAGAACTGCTGTATCTGTTAGGTGCTGTCAAAA